TCAAGTTATAAATTCATTCTTGATTTGCCTTAGTGATGGGGGAGAACAGAATTATTGATGCTGTAAATTCATATATCTCATCCCAAATTTACCTCATTTTAGGGAATATATTAGCTTCAATCTCAAAAATTTTCTCTCAAAAATTTTACAAGTGGTAATGACTAAAAGCAAAATGGATTAAGCAGAGTTTCATGTGCATGTTTTTATTATTTGGTAGGAGAGCTAATTAGTGAAATAAATAGTCCTCAAACAGTAAAAACATCATGGATGACAAAAAGACATGGAAGAGTCTATGAAGAGGATAGGTGTGTTACTACCTGAAACATAACGCAAATTTAACTTAATTTACAGTTCTAGGTAGATACAGAGCTAGGCTAAACAACTGATATAACCACTGAGTATCTCAATTTACCCCCATAATTACCCCAGAACAAATTGATACATAAATCTTTGCTTTAACCCTTAAACCCATAATCAAATTTTAAATTAGAAGAACGTAAGGACAAGGAGAAAATTATCTAATTGCATTGTTTTCTTTCACAACCTTATAGCACTTCTTAAAAAAAATGCATGACATGACAAGTTATATCATATTTTCTATGTCTATGTTTAAATAGCTCAGAAGATAAACTAAGTTTAATTTACAAAGACTCATTGATAACCTTGTGGTCATCTAAAATGAACACTGACCTGTTATGCAAAAGTCAAAGAGATACTTACACCCATTGTAATGGAACTGATAAAATTGTTCTTAAAGTCTCTCATTGCAATTTACAGAAAAGTTTAAACTTGTTTGTCCATTTAAAAACAATGTGACTTATAAATTTGAACTTTATGGTATTTGTTTACAACTTTACAATTTCACAAATGAACCACTTTAGAAAGTTACTAGAAGTGGAAAATGCAAGAGCTGCTCCTTTCATTCGAAGTCGTATGGTCAAGTTTCAGCTTTAAAGTCTTACAGCAACTAGGGATAAAATGCTAGTGCATTTTTGACTTTATTAAACTTTAAAAAAGAAAAAAAAACCTCATTTCATGATTAATGAACCTTTATAGATAAACTTTCCTATATTCTCTTTAACTCTTAAAACTAGAATCACTGTATTAGCCATCTTAAAGTTCATCTAGTTTTTTAAATCAACTAGTCATTTTTTGGATATTTTTCAGAAAAAAATTGTATGCACTGATACAACTTAAAATTTACAAATGAAGAAATTAATTTCACGCTACTGCACAAACAATAGGTACAAGTCTACCTATTTTAACGTGAAACAATTATAGTACTTATTATATGAAACATACTTTCCTTTTTCCGTAGGCTTTACCAAATGTTACTCACTCAAAAACATAGAAAATAAAATCCTTAACTTAAGAAATATCACTAACCAAAAGGAAGGCTTGTTTTTTAATGTTATATTTTTAATTATCCCTAAAATTCAGAAAAAATAAGGGATTTGTTTCAAAGCAAAATCCTGTCTGGATATTTGGCAGGTGAAAAGAAAGATACCCTAACTGTGCCTATGTAGAAGACATTAACATTTTTTAAATATGTGCAGCATTCCCAAGTCCCTTTTAAAATATAATATTAATTAACCCTAAAATTGCAGATTGAACATTAATATAAGAAATACTGAAAAAAAAGACACACACTATGAGTAGAACAATGGAAAGAGATCAGTCACTTCTTAGCATAACATAATTTAAAGGTCATAAAGATGATACAGCTGGAGATTTTCATACTGACAAATATTAAAGACTAAATTTGATATGCAACATTCTCATTTTAAAACAATCACTTCAGATGTAAAACATTTAATATTATCTACTTTTAAAATATAGCTAGAACATTAAAATATCAATGTGCCAGTTAGGGTCTCATGTAGCTTGAAATTGTTAGATCATCTCAAAAATTTTTTTAAAGGTGATTTAGTCCACATAAACTAATTCCAACTCCTGCAAAAAATACCCTCCACAGAACGGCTAACAAGATTATTCTTAACATGGGACATTTTGCTTTCAAAGTGTGTATTAATTCCCAGTATCTGCCTCACTTTTCAAGAAAAAAAAAAAAAAACCTGCCTCTTAATTCAGCATTTCCAACCCCCCCAGGAATTACTTAGTACCTGTCTAGAATTGAACATCTATGTTCTATAAGTTTCAAAATATCAAGTAATCTAAAAGTTTTAGGAAAACAGTACTTTAAAAAGAGTGCCTTTTTTTAATCTTGGGCAAAAATTAAGTAGTATTTGAGTTTCTCTCCTCTCTTTCCAATCTCTAAATTAACTCTTGGGGAGGAGATAATAATGAGACTCATCTAAAAAAAAAAAAAAAATCTGATGTCCATCTTTTTCTCAAGGCTTAGTTAATACACTTTAGTGTAACTGAAGTTGGGGACATATAGGACAGTCAACACATTACTAGAGACAACAGCCCGAAGAAGAAAATAACAATAAAACTGCACACACCACACGTTTGCTAATCATAAAGAGATGCATTGGTAAAGAAAAAAAAAATCATCATTTCTGTCATAAATTTTGCTGTGCAGCCCCAGAATGGAGAACAATCTGGCAATTTATTGGCATATTGGCAGGAGGTGATAAGGCTAAAAACAACAACAGCGAGCAGCTGTGCGGGGAGATGGGCTGATAGCATGATATGGCTCCCACACCAAACACCTCCCGTCCTATCAGAGCTTTTTATCAAACCAGGATTACAATAATAGCTTATGAGAGAAAGCTTCTGAGGGGAGGGCAGAAAATACAGTCTTGGAATAGGAAAAAAATATCTGAATTTTGGGACAAAACATGGGGACAAAATACATAATTTATCACTGTATTATCAGGAAATCCAGGCAGTCTAATCAAGGAGCAGTGAGCGACTATTTTTTGCCTTATCATCCAAAGTGGTGGAAACGGAGAAGGAATTATCAGGCTTCTGCAGATTGCTGGGCTGGAATTTTAATGGTAATAATCGGGTTTCTGATGGTATATCTTCCTCGCTTATCTTTCCCATTATCGCCTCTTATCTGGCCAGTCATCATAGCAAATTAATGGTGCTCTTTCAGCAACGCCTTTTTATCGCTGCCCAGAGAGCACCCAAGGGGAAAGAATAAGCAAAATATTAAAATACTGCATAAATCACAATTTTAGATAGCAGGGAACTGTATGCAGCAAAAGGAAAAAAAAAAAAAAAAAAACTGTGCCCAACCACCTTTTTGTCCTTTAAATTGACTGTCTTCAGAGTTTCTTGTGTAAGCTGACTTTTTGCTCATCATAGTTCCTCTAAATTGGGTATGTTTTATCAGCAGCGCCAAAGCCTTATTTCCAGATTCTGGAGGTTTCCAAGTTTAAAATGCAGTTTTATTAGTGGCTTTGAAAAGCTATTGTTTCACGGAGAACTGCATTCTGATGTTTTCCAAACTTATGTTTGATCTAGAATGTCGAGACCAACAGGATTATTTGTAATAAAAAATCCTGCACTTCGTAGACCCTACTGGAATTGGAGGCAGAGATCTATCATACTAATGGCTTTGAGTATCAAGACAAACTTCTCTATCTGCAAAACTGCCTCTTATGCCTGGACAGGCAAAAGAAGACAAATGTCCAGAGACTGAAACCAAAATGACTAAAGCTGTTCAAACTACATTTAAGCATCTCCCCCAAAAGCGACTACATAGCATTGCTCTCATGCAAAGAGTCAAAGACCTTTCATTTTTCATTGTCGTCCACAGTGCAAGGGTAAAGGGGGTGCCCATATTGGCATAGATTATCACTGTAATCCCCCCAAACTAAATCCAATCAAATTCTAAAATGCAAATATGTTCATAATATATCTGTATGTAATATATCAGGTAGTGATCACTGTACAAACAAATAAATATTTGTTCACTTTTGAAATGAGAGAACTTTAAAGCTTTTTTGATAGTTAATAAATCACAGCTTTCCAATAACCCACTGAAATGTTTTATGACCTATAACACAAGAGTAGCATCAGCAATTAGTTCCAACACTTTAATCTTCAATTATATGAGGTAGACATAGAAGGAAAAAAAAAATTTAATGTAGCTAATTGAGAAGATAACAAAGTATTCCCAAGTAGAATCAGATGGTCTTTGTGCCATACAATCAATTAATATTAATTATTTATTAACAATCTAGATGCCAGCCATGAACTAAAAAGCATTTGCCTCTCATAATGTTTATTTTCATATTTTGTAACAAGCATGGTTTTCTACCACAAAATGCCAACATTTAAACAGAGAGACCCAATCAATCTAGTACTAAAAAGTAGGAAGCAATTAGTTGAAACCATGAATAATTACCCTAAAAAAAGTGAAAGTCTTCAAAGAAGGTCTCATTCTTTGATTAAAACTGCTTTAAGCCAAAAATCCAGTCCAGTCCTTGCTTTCACCCAACTGTACAGACTGGGGGCTTAAGTACTAGAAGGGCAGACATTCACTAAATAAAAGCTAGAAAGAGGTAAGTTTTACATACATATGTAAAGATCTGAGTACTTAACTGTACCTAATTGTACAATCTGGCCCCCATTCTACGCTAGAAAACATGATTGATAACATTTCTTTTTAAACTACACCAAACATATTCTTTTTTTTCTTTTTTACATGGGAGGGGGGAGTGAGTGTGGTTAATAATCAAGTGAGAGGCAGATACTATTAAAACCCTCTTACATTTACAAAATAATTAGTTTCAAACTAGTTGCCAGACGCTTTAACACCAAGAAACTGACACACCACACGGCTGGCAAAAAATAATAAAGCTTTCTCTTCTTTTCGATTAAAGCGTTGAAGATATTTCACAGGCCGACAAACAGTATTGATGGGATTTTCCCCAGGCCAAGAAAAGTTGACCTAGTTGAGGTCTGCGAGTGTGTGGGTTTCAGGCAGGTGCCACAGCGCCCGGTGGAGTCCTCGAAACACCCCCAGGACCCCCAGGGGCTCCAGGGCTCCAACCCCTGCCTGGCGCCTGCTGCTTTGAACTCACAGCTTCCGCGCTGGGAAGTGACGGGAAGGCCCCTCCCAGCGAGGACTTGGACTCCTCCAGGGTCAGAAGCAACCTGAAAGCCAGCTGGGCAGAGCGTCCCAGCAACGCGAGCAGGACGGGCCCGGAGCCCTCGGGCGCGACCTGCCCGGCCTCCAAGCCCGCGCCCGCAGGGCGGAGACGCACGGCGGCCCGTCGCAGAGGCGCGAACTTTTACACCTACTTTTTGTTTCGCTTCGGCTTTGGCGTGACGCTGGCACCGCCCAGGATTGACACCCAGACGTTCATTTTCCACCTCCTGGGGAAGTTGCCTCCCTCGACCAGCTTTTCAGAGAACTTAAGTTCTCACCCTGGTTGCAAAAAGTGGTTCCCCGGAGCAGCACCACGCCAATCGCAACAACAACAACAATGCCAACAGAGATAATAATAAGCGCCTAAATGAGCGGAGCTGCTCGGTCTGGCTCGTCAGGAAAGCAGCGGAAACGAACAGCGTGCGGGGGCCGAAATTAAAAAGAAACCCAGGAGCGCGAAGGCTGAGCCGAGCAAGAGTGAGTGAGTTGTTCCTCACAGCCTTTACCTTGCCCGGCGCGCGGGATGGCCGTCTGTCTGTCTGTCTAGGTGTCCCTCCGGCTGCTCAGGCAAACTTTGACAAATCGCTTGGGACTCGGAGCGAATTTCCCCGAGCCGCCCCCCCCCCAGCTCCACGTGCCACGCGCCCCCTTCCCCACAAACAAGCCCACCAACTCCTGGGCCCGCGCGCAAACTTACGTTTGATCTGCCGGGGTTTGCTCTGCTTTCGCCGGGACATCTCGGCGGCGGCCGCTGCCACAGACACGGCCGCTGCCACTGGGGCTCCCGCGGTGCCCGCGGTCGGGGCTGCCGCTCCCTCCGCTCCCG